GATTGGTCAATGCCACTGTAGAGGGCCTTAAAGACTGAAGTGGAGTTTGGCGTTAGCTGGGGGAGCACTGAGGAGGCAAAAAAGTGATAAAATCAGAGGTGCTGTTCAGAAAGACTGTCTTGGACAGGGCATGGTGGCTCATGCCTGTTATCCTAGCACTTTGGGAGGCCAAGGCAGGTGGATCACTTGAGGAGTTTGAGACCAGCCTGGACAACGTGGCAGAGAAACCCCGTCTCTACTAAAAATACAAAAAATTAGCTGGATGTGGTGGTGGGCACCTGTAATCCCAGCTACTGGGGAGGCTGAGGGAGGAGAATTGCTTGAACCTGGGAGGCAGAGTTTGCCAAGATCACACCACTGCACTCCAGCCTGGGGGACAGAGTGAGACTCTGTCTTGGAAAAAAAAAGAAAAATAAAGATTGTCTTTGTGGCCATGTTTATGAGAGACTGTTGGAGAGGGAGATCAGAGATTTAGAAACTACCAGTTTAGCTTTCTCCAGCAGTCTAAGAGAAAATCAAGATATGAACTATATGTGGTTATGAAAGAGAAAAGATTGAGAGGGACAGCACAGGTGAAGTAGGCACTTGGTACTTGGTGGAGGTGGGGCCTTGACATTATTTGGCTATGTCCCCACCCAAATCTCATGTGACATTGTAATCCAAATTGTCATCCCCACCTATCAAGGGAGGGACCTAGTAGGAGGTGATTGGATCATGGAGGGTTTCAACCATACTGTTCTCGTGAGAATGAGTTCTCCTGAGATCTGGAGGTTTTATAATGGGCTCTTCCCCTTTTGCTCTCTTCTCTCTTGCCAGCACCATGTAAGACATGCCTGCTTCCCCTTCCCCCATGACTGTAAGTTTCCTGAAGCCTTCCCAACCATGCAGAACTGTGAGTCAATTAAACTCTTTTCTTTATAAATTACTGAGTCTTGGGCAGTTGTTTATAGCAGTGTGAAAACGGACTAATATAGGCCTAATAACACCTCATCCTCCCTTGGTAAGGGCTTATCCTGGGTTTTGGAATCTGGAGATGAGGATCCTTTATGTCTTTCCCTTTGCCTGAAATATGTATCTGTTCTTGTCCTAATGCTTAGCCATTACTTTTCTAGCTTCTTCAAGGCCAGCCTTGAGTCTCACCTTAAAAGAGTCCATATATCCATCAAGAGAAGAATGGATAAACTGGTGCATTGTACAATGGAATGTTACTGTTATAGAAAATTGAAGTAGGACTGTAAATCTCTTGAGCAGACAAAGCCAGTTAACCCATGGACACAAACTTGACCTTGATAAGCTAAACTTGGATTTTTTTTTGTAAATACCTATATTAAAGCAAAATGAAGTTTAAGTTCAATCAGAAGCCATCAACTAACTTATACAGCCAGGGACTTTTCAATGGTGGGGGGAGACCAAATAAGGCAACTACACAATCATAACCAAGCCATTATTTTCTTTGCCTTGCTTCCAAGTTACAAAATCCTTTTTCTTGCTTTCCCTTGGAAGAGCCCTGAACCACATTTGGTTTGGAGCTGCCCAATTTGTGAATTGCTGTTTGCTCAAATAAACTCTTTAATAATTTTAATAGGATTTAGCTTATCTTTTAACACTATGTAGTAATAAAAAGGAACAAACCACTGACACATGGAACAACTTGGGTGAAACTCAAATAAATCATGCTGAAATAAACAAGACCAAAAGAGTGCATCCTATATGATTCTATTCATATGCAGTTCAGAAACAGGAAAAACTAATCTACAATGACAAAAAAATAGTGGTTGCCTCTCAGGATTGGGGTTGAGGACAGACTGGAAAGGGGTAAGAGGGAGTTTCCTGGGGTGATAGAGATTGGGTTATAGAGAGGTGTATGTCATTATCAAAACCTGTGGAATGTTTTCCTTAAGATCTGTATTTCATTATGTAAATTTTACCAAAAAAGCAAACTACAGTTAATAGGCAAGCTGAAGAATGTAGGCATGAAGCTTACTGATATCTGTAACTTCAAAATGCATCAAAATATAAGGTGGATAGATGGATGGCTCAATACATGATAAAGCAGAGATAGCAAAGTGTTAATGATAGAATCTAGGTGATGGGTAAATGGGTGCTTACTGTACTGTCAACTTTCTGTGTGCTTGAATTAATCATTATAAAATGGTGAGGGATATGGTGTGGGGGAGAAACCCTAGTCTAAGTTTTGCCAATTCACCTATGGAAAGTAAAGACAACTAGCAGTGAGAAGCCGCCTGTGGACAGTGATAGTCATCTGGAAGTCTCCTAACTCCTTGTCTTCGGCCTTTTGAAGGGGAGCTTGACTAGACTGAAAAAGAGGCAGTTTAATTCAGGATCCCTTTTCCAAATTACTTTGGCTGGTAGGTGCTGAAAAAAATCTCTTTTCCTTCCAGTTTTTCCCGACTTCCAGAATCATGAAGTCTTTTCCTCCTTGCAGACAAAACTCCATCCCTTTAGGAATTGTCTTGTGTTGTCTTTGTCTTATGGCTCCTGGGCAAAGGAGTGGACACCACTTAATTTTTTCTTCTAGCAATTACATTTCATATTTGATTATTTACTACAAGGCTATTTGAAATATCACACACTGATGCGTTTTGTACTTTTTTTTTTTTTTTTTAAAGAAAAAAGTTAAACAGAACTGTCACTATATTTACAGAGTAACTTCCTGGTACACATGAGGTCAGCTGGGGAACAGAAAGGACATGAGCAGATCATTAGAAATTGTCATTAAAGTAATTCCCCTCCCCCCGCAGTAACAAGAACAGCAGCACTTCATGTAGCTTGTAGGCCTTCTTTCCTGTTTGGCCAGGGGCTTTATCTCCTTTGAAAATAACAGTATCTTGGGCTGAGCACAGTGGCTCATGCCTATAATCCTAGCACTTTGGGAGGCCAAGGCGGGCAGACCACTTGAGGCCAGGAGTTGATCACTTGAGACCAGCCTGGCAAACATGGTGAAACCCTGTCTCTACTAAAAATACAAAAATTGGCCGGGTGTGATGGCTCAGGCCTGTAATCCCAGCAGTGTGGGAGGTCAGGAGTTTGAGGCCAGCCTGGCCAACATGGCAAAACCTGTCTCTACTAAAAATACAAAAATTAGCTGGAGGTGGTGGTACACACCTGTAATTCCAGCTACTGGGGAGGCTGAGGCAGAATTGCTTGAAGCTGGAAGGTGGAGGTTGCACTGAGCTGAGATGGTGCCAGTGCACTCCAGCCTGGGTGACACTTGTGGAGGACCAGCCTGGCCAACATGGTGAAACATCATCTCTACTAAAAATACAAAAATTAGCTGGGCATGGTGGCTAATGCCTGTGATCCCAGCTACCCGGGAGCCTGAGGCAGGAAAATCACTTGCACCATGGAGGCGGAGGTTGCCGTGAGCCGAGATTGTGCCACTGCAGCACAGCCTGGGTGAGACTGTCTCAAAAAAAAAGTTAGCTGGGCATGGTGGCACACAACTGTAATCCCAGTTACAGGGAGGCTGAGGCAGAATTGCTTCAACTGGGGAAGTGGAGGTTGCAGTGAGCTGAGATTGCCATCACTGCAGTCCAGCCTGGGCGATACTGAGGCTCTGTCTCAAAAAACAAATAAACAAAAAGTAGTATCTTCTGCTTATAGTCTCTAATTCTATTCCCAGTAGCCGTTTAATTATGCATTTCTTTTCTTTCTCCCTGCTGGATCATCTTTAATCACAAAGTTCAATCTTTCAAAGGTAACTATTTTTCTGAATCCTTACAACAGTTGGCCAGCCAACTTTTCCCTCACTCATGTTGCCTAATTAGGCCATTAACTTTACAGTTTTTAGTTTACTACCTGTATAAGAAAAGCATCTTGCTAAGGGACATCTATTATTGAGTTTGTTTACTGTTTCTCTTGGAGTTACTGATATTAATACTTCTATATGTGTTTGCATCACACATTTAAGAAAATCTAATTCTAAACATAGATCAGCAACAAGGAAATATTTTTTTCTTTTGAGACAGGGTTTTGGTCTGTCAACTAGGCTGCTGGAGTGATGACACATTTTGAGTTCACTGTAGCCTCCACCTCTTGGGCTCAAGTGATCCTCCCACCTCAGCCTCCCAAGTAGCTGGGACCACAGGCACACAACACTATAACCAGTTTTTTGTTTTTTGGTAGAGATGGGGCTTCACCATGTTGCCCAGGCTGAGGAAATTAATCCTTACAACTTTGCCTTCTGAAATCTTTTTTTTTTTTTTGAGACAAAGTTTTGCTGTTGATACCCAGACTGGAAATGGCATGATCTTGGCTCACCGCAACCTCTGCCTCCATGCACACACCACCATGCCCAGCCAATTTTTGTATTTTTAGTAGAGTCGGGGTTTCACCTTGTTCAGGTGATCCACCTGGTCTCAATCTCTTGACCTCGAGAGATTTACCCGCCTCGGCCTCCCAAAGTGCTGGGATTATAGGCGTGAGCCACTGCGCCCGGCCCTGAAATCTTATACTAACTTATAATTTGCTTTTCTGTTTTGCTTCACTGAGATATTGTAGAGATGGGGATTAAAACTTGTTCTTCCTTAGAGTGCAAAAGCAGTGCCTTACAAACTTAAGTAGGCTTCAGATGATCTGAGTTGCTTGTTTAAAAGGCAGATTCTGAGACCCACCCCTGATTCAGGAATCAGGAATAGCAGGTCCCACAATTTGAGAAACACTGCCTTTAAGGAAGTAGGTATATCACACAATTTTAATCTCACAGAAACATAAAATGTGCTAACCTGAATATTTAAAACATGTGTTTTATTACTTACATATCTGCCTCAAGTCATCACCTTACAGTGCTGTTCCATCAGCCAATCTGAAAAAAGTGAGACTTGATTTTGATTGATTCTTAACAACTGATCGTTGTTTTGTGTGACTCTTGGCTAATTCTGTTTTCCTTTCTCTATTTTTAAGCTGACCATGGAGATAAATTGCCATCAAAGTTGCTTTGAAATTTTGTGTGGGGTGTACAAAGAACAGGAGGTCAGCACTTATGAATGAGTGTAACTTTTTATTAAGATGGAATTGTTTTTATTAAAGAAATATATGAAAATGGTTAAGTAAAATCAAATGGCTCTAAAACTCTTACAATGAAAACAACAGTCCTGCCAGTTGTTCATTCCAGAGGCAAGCACTTTTCATTGTTAGTTTTTCCTTCTGGCAGTTACCTTCCTGGGTTTTTCCAAATTCTTATGTTTTTAGTTTTTCAAGTGAATGCGTATATTAATACATGTAATTTACAGAAGACTTTTCAGTTTATAATGCATCCTAACAGTCCCCTGTCCCTTCCCTCCTAATTCTCCAGAGCAATGACTTTGAACTCTTTTAGCAATGTCTTCTATTTTTTACCTCACATAACTAGTCATTTCTTGATTTTATATATCATATAGTGATTTCTTGATACGACAGATTAGGCTTTAGCTCTTACACCATCACTATCTTCACTTTTCCTCCCAATTTGTCCCAAAGTAGGTACCAGATTGAAGGGGTAAGCAGTCACCACATGATTATGACTATGTACAGATTGCTGATTGTTGAGAAAAAGAGCAACTATGCTCTTACTTCCTATCCCGTACTTTTCTGTCCTAGAATCAATGATTGCCTAACCATCCCTTCCCCCCACCTTTTTTTTTTACTTTTCCTTCAGTGAACTTCTTTCCAAATGCCCCAAATCTGGCAATAACCTATTATTATCTTTGAGACAGAGTCTTACTCTGTCACCCAGGCTGGAGTGCAGTGGCACGATCTAGGCTCAACTGCAGCCTCCACCTCTCAGGTTCAAGCAATTCTCCTGCCTCAGCCTCCCGAGTAGCTGGGACTACAGGCGTGTACAACCATGCCTGGCAAATTTTATTTTTAGGAGAGATGTGGTTTTACCATATTGGTCAGGCTGGTCTTGAACTCCAGAGCTCATTATCTGCCTGTCTTGGCCTCTCAAAGTGCTGGGATTATAAGCGTGAGCCACTGTGCTCGACCCCTACTATGAAGAGAAGAGACCTCACTATGGTGGCCAGGCTGGTCTGTCACTCTTGGGCTCAAGCCATCTTCTTGCTTAGCCCCGAGTAGCTGGGACTACAGGCATGAGCCCTTCCACCCAGCTAACCTATTAATATTTTTACTGTTTCTTTGTAAAGCCAGCTCCATACCTGGAATATTGCCTGTGTTGGATCCTATTTGTTGGATCCATGTCATTCTCTGGTTTGCGTACTCCTTCATTTTGCTGGAATATTTTCTCCAATAGCTTCCCAAGAAAGAGCACATGGAGGTAACCTGAGTCTTTGCTTGTCTAAAAATGTATTATTTTACCTTCAAACCTCGATTATTTGGCTGAATATAGATTTATCAGTTGAAAATAACATTCTTTCTAGAATTCTGAAAGCATGGTTCCATTGTTTTCAGATTCTTTTTCAAGACAGGGTCTCTTCTGCCACCCAGGCTGGAGTGCAGCAGCACAATCACGAGGCACCACAGCAGCCTTGAACTCAATTGATTCTTCCATCTCAGTTCCCTGAGCAGATGGGACTACAGGTGTGCACCACAATGCCCAGCTAATTTTTGTATTTTTTGTAGAGATGGGGCTTCAACATGCTGCCCAAGCTGTTCTCAAGTGATTTACCTGCCTTGGCCTACCAAAATGCTGGGATTACAGGTGTGAGCCGCTGTGCCTGGCCAATTTTTCTTTTATTCTCTCTCTACTTTCTTCACTTCTCAAAAGCATCTCAAACTCAGTGGGCCAAAACCAAAATCAAACTCCACTGGAATATCCTGCAACGGCCAACTTTAAAATATATCTCAAATGACAATTCCTTACTACATGCAATCCTTTGGTTCAAACTACCACCATCCCTCGCTTGAACTTAGAATTGCTTTTCCTTCTAAGCAATTTTTTAAAATTATAAAGTATTTTAAATAAACCATGTGTGGCTTCACACTTTTTACTACATCAAAAAAATGAAGATCTGCTGGGTGCGGTGGCTCATGCCTGTTAATCCCAGCACTTTGGGAGGCCAAGGCAGACAGATCACTTGAGGTCAGGAGTTTGAGACCAGCCTGGCCAATATGGTGAAACACTGTCTCTACTAAAAATATAAAATTACCTGGGTGTGGTGGTGTGCACCTGTAGTCCTAGCTACTTGGGAGCCTGAGGCAGGAGAATTGCTTCAACCTGGGAAGGCAGAAGTTGCAGTGAGCCAAGGTTGTGCCATTGCACTCCGCCTGGGCAACAACAGTGAAACTCTATCTACCAAAAACAAAAAAAAGCATGAAGAGCTTACATACTTAAACATACAATTGCTTTAAGTGTTTGGCAATCACTGTTCCCGGGCATGCAAACACCTGGGACTTGCTATAGAGCAGCTGGAGTACGTTCCACCCACACACAGGAAAGGGAGATGACACCCAAGGAGTGGGGGATCAACACTCCAGCTTTCTCGCCTCCGTTTCCCCGTATCTCAGCAGTATGGAGCTTGTTACCAATGAGAACCTGCTCAATGACTTTAAACTGGTTTTCTTACCTACTCAGTTCCATTTCTCCATACCTCAATTGATGATTGCTGGTATGACCTAGCAAATAAACTGCTTTCACTGGACTTCCAGGTTGTTTTTAATTTTTCACTGTTACAAACAAGGCTGTAACGTTTGTCTACAAACCTCTGGATATACATGTAGGAAGCTTTCGATGTTTCTCACTAGTGAAAATCCTCAGTTGAAGGGTATGTGCATCTTCATCTTTAATAAATACTATCAACATTTGAAAAGCTCGACAATGTAAGGACTGGCAAGAGTGCCACGTGATGGGTGTGGAATGGTAGCTCACTGTGTAGCAGGTGCTGGGGACTCAGTCAGGGTCTTGGATAGGCACTTAGTTATAGCAAGAATGTTTCATAAATGGTATCTGATATAGCCAAGATTAGTGGGGAAAGTGTAAAGTATAAAGTCAATAGTAGTATACAGCAAAAAAAAAAAAAAAAAAAAAAAAAGACTAGTGGGGAATACAAACACATTGCTTAGAAATAATTATCCACAGATCTAAAGTTGCTAAGCCTTTTTTTTTCTTTGCAGAAAGAGAGAGAGGGGAAAGAAAAAGATAAGAGAGAAAAGCTTCCATAGATCTTGTTGAAGGAAAAAAAGTCTTTTTTTCTAATGTAAAAATACATAATTTTTTTCAGAGGGAGGAGGAACAGCTTAATCCAGAAAACACATTCATATTAATCATTCTTCTCATATACTTCAAATTTGTACTTAATGCCTTTCTCCTCCTGGTCATCAGAGGGAACACCTGGGTATCTGTAAAAGAAAAAAATATATAATTAAATTATGTATCCATTAAAAACATAGCTTCCCTGATTCTCAGTTTAAATATATCGACAGTGCATAAAGTAAATAAAAGGTTTCCCTTTGTTTTTCTTCACAATGGAAAGCCTTGTAAAGTTGGTAAGTATCATGCAAATATTCCACATATGCAAATGGTAAGAAAAGAAACTGTAAACTATATAGAAAGTTAGTGTAATTTTCTTCTCTTTTGTTTCTTTTGGATTCCTAATTCTCTCAAAAACCAGTTAGCAGATTCCCTTGTATCTTTCCACTCTATCACCCAGCTAATAGGAAATTTCTTAAGAGCTTTTTGCAAGTCTTATATTTGTTATCACATTTCTTGTGTAAGCAGAAGAAAAAATACAATCTGAAGCTGTTCAGAACATAACAGAAATTATGTGCCCTGGACAGTGACAGGTTCTCCGCTTCCGTTTGGTTGATGGACACCACACTGCTCTAATTCCACTATGTGCAGCAGACTAACTCCTTTATGAGGATCTGCTGTTCCTGTTTCCTAACTCCTCTCACTTGAGCCCGTGTTCTCTCCAGCTTCCCATCTAAAGCCCAGGTTTTCCACAGAAAGGTTCATTCCAACCTCCAATGAATTCCAAATCTTGGGGTACTTCAGTACTATGCAGGCTGCACCCCAGTATGCTCCAGGTGGTGGTCAGGAATGCCTGCTTGAATCTGACTGTGCTTGACTCTGGTTCTGCTGTGTGACATGCCTCTGAGCCTGGCTGTCAACAGTCTTCATCCTTGTAAAAATTTTAGCATTGGCCAGGCATAGTGGCTCCTGCCTGTAATCCTAGCACTTTGGGAGGCCAAAGGTAGGTGGATCACTTGAGGTCAGGAGTTTGAGACAAGCCTGGTCAACGTGGTGTAACCCTGTCTCTAGTAAAAATACAAAAATTAGCTGGGTGTGATGGCACACACACCTGTAATCCCAGTTACTCCGGACGCTGAGGTAGGAGAATTGCTTGAGTCCGGGAGGCAGAGGTTGCAGTGAGCCAAGATGGCGCCACTGTACCATTCCAGCTTGTGTGACACAACCCCCCAACCAAAAAAAAAAAACCCAAAAAAGAATGTGGCATTGTGCCTAACACAGTAAGTGTTCTATAAATGGTGTCCACTAATAATATTGGTTTGTTTCATTTCTCTATTTTCTAAACTCAAGGTAGGCAAGGATAACAGGCATGGTGGTATTATTCAACTTCTCTCTTTCGTGTTTATTTCACTATACTGGTGCATTTATTTTTAAATCAGGAAGAATGGTGTTAATAAAAGATACCATGTTTTAACAGAAACGTATGTAACCACAAGAGGTTGACCGGTAGAGACAATGGGGCTTAAACTAAGTGAATACCTGGGGGAAAGGGATACAGGAAGTAGAGAATGACCAAAGTTTATATCTGGACAGTAGAGAGCAAATCTATGGAGAGAAAGCAGCTCCAGAATTGAGCAATGTTAGTTTTCCAGGGACAAAGTATATTCACTTTATCTTGATAGGTTTCCTTTTTCTCCATAGAATAAAGGACTGACTTATTCTAGGTTTCCTCTTAGAGAATTCCCTCTATTCCATTAAAGAGACTGTTATGATGTTATGTTAGTACACACCTGAAAGTACAAATGACCATCAAACATTGCAATGGAAGAATTTTTTGCTTTCTCCCATAGCCTTGTTTAGAATGTCCACTTCGGAGTAGTTTCCTTATTCCTATCTTGACCTATTCACTATTAAAATTTTCTAAGACATTTAAGAAGTACTAGCAATCCATCACAAAGTCTCAAAAAAAACAGAAGAGAGAACCTTCCAATTCACTCCATGAGGTCACTTTTATCCTGATAACAAAACCAGGAAAGGCATTAAAAAAAAAACTATAAACCAATATCCCTTCTAAATATAAATGCAAAAATCTTCAACAATAAACTAGCAACCTAAACCTAGTAACATATCAAAAGGATTATACACCATTACCAAGAAGAATTTATCCCAGAAATATTAGCTTAACATGCAAATTAATGCGATATACAGTATTACTATTACATTAAAGTATTAGTAAAAAGAGAAAACCACATGATCATCTCAATAGACTCAAAAAAAGCATGTCACAAAATCGAATATTCTCATGATAAAAAATACTTGACAAACTAGAAATAGAAGGGATTTTCCTCAATGTGATGGAAGGCACTCACAGCTTAAATCACGCTTAATGGTGAGAGACAAAGCTTCCCCTCTAAGATTAGGAACAAGACAAGTAAGTCGGCTTTGCCGTCTTCTAGTCAACACTACTGGCAGGTCTAGCCATGGAAATTAGGCAAAGAAAAAAATAAAAACATCCAGATTTAAAAGGATGTAAACCTCTATGTGCAGATGACATTACACTGTACAGAGAAAATCCTAAGGAATCTACTAACAATTAGAATTACTAAATGAGTTCAGCAAGGTTGAAAGATACAAGATCAATAAACAAAAATTACTTGGATTTCTATAGCTAGCAATGAACGGTCTGAAACTAAAGTTAAGGAAACAACACCATTTACAATAGCATCAAAAGGAATATAATACGTAAAAATGAATTTATCAAAGAAGCATAAGACTTATACACTAAAAGGTATACAACTTTGATAAAGAAAATTAAATAGGACCTAAACAAGGGGAAAGACATCACATGCTAAGGGTTTAAAAGACTTGTTTTTGTTTTGTTTTTGAGACAAGTTCTTGCTCTGTTGCCCAGGCTGGAGGGCAATGGCACGATCTTGGCTCACTACAACTTCTGCCTCCTGGGTCAAGTGGTTCTCCTGCCTCAGCTTTCCAAGTAGCTGGAATTACAGGTTCCCGCCATCACGCCTGGCTAGTTTCTTGTATTTTTAGTAGAGAAGGGGTTTCACCATGTTAGCCAGGCTGGTCTTTAACTCCTGACCTTAGATAATCCACCTGCCTCAGCCTCCAAAAGTGCTGGGATTACACTGCATTCAGCCATAAAAGACTTAATATTGTTAAGAAAACAATATTCTTCAGTGATCTACAGATGCAATACAACCTGTATCAAAATCCCAGCTTGCTTCCTGGTAGAAATTGATAAGCTTATCATAAAGTTCTTATGGAAATGCAAGGGACCCAGAATAGCCAAAATAGTCTTGAAAAAGAACAATTTTAAAAGTTGGTAATCTATTTGGGAGGCTCAGGTGGGAGGATCACTTGAGCCTAGGAGTTGAAGACCAGCCTGGGCAACATGGCAAGACCCAGTCTCTTAAAAAAAAAAAAAAAAAAAAAGCCAGGTGTGATGGTACACACCTGTACTCCCTCCCAGCTACTCTGAAGGCTGAGGCAGGAAGATCACTTGAGCTCAGGAGTTTGAGGCTGCAGTGAGCTATGATTGTGCCACTGCACGAGTAACAGAGTAAGGCAACATCTCTTAAGAAAAAAAGTTCAGGGAGAAGAGATCCGAGATAGGAACAGCTGTGGAGTGCAGTTCCCAGCGAGAATGTAGAGGGTGAGTGATCACCACATTTCCAAATGAGTTTTTACTGCCCACAGACCAGGAGATTCCCAGGCGGAAAAGCGCCACAAGTCTCCAGCATGGCTGTTTTAGCTGGTGCAGCGGGTCTCCACACAAAAACTCACACAAATCAGGGCAGCTGTTTCAACTGGCGCCTGGAACAACTGGGAGACACAGTCGCCAATTCAACTGAAAAAAAGGGGGGCTGAAACAGGGAGTTAGGTGATCTGGCTCGGCAGGTCCCATCTCCAGAAAGACCAGCAATCTAAAATGCTCCAGACTGAGAGTTTCAAAGCAAGCCCAGCTGGACCCAGGATGATCCAGTTCTGTGGGGGGAAGGGAGTCTACCATTACCGAGGCAGTCCACCACTACCAAGAGAGTTCACCATTACCGAGGCAGTCTGCCATTACCCAGGCAGACCACCATTACCGAGGCAGTTCTGACTATACCTCTGTAAACGAAACTGCAAGGAAGTTCACATAGCAGCTGGGCAGAGCCCACAGCAGCTCAGCAACGCCTCTGGTGGCAGACTATGACTAGGCTACCTCTTCCTGGGCAGGGCATCTCTGAAAAAAGGCAGCAGCACGCCAGGAACTTATAAACAAAGCAACACACCTTCCCATGGCAGAGTACCTGGGAAAAATGGGCAGTTATGAGTTCCACTGCAGCAGACTTAAATGTACCTGCCCAGCAGCTCTGAATGGAACGGAGCTCACAGCTTAGCACTTTAGCTACTATAAGGGATAGACTGTCTCCTCAAGCAGCTCCCTGAACCCCGTATATCCAAAGAGACACCTCATAAAGGAGAGCTCAGGCTGACATCTGGTGGGTATCCTTCTGGGACAAAGATAACAGAAGAAGAAACCAGCACAACCCTTACTGTTGTGCTGCTGCTGCAGGTGATCTCCAGGCAAGCAGGCTCTGGAGTGGACCTCCAGCAATCCTGCAGCAGACAGTCCTGACTGTTGGAAGGAAAATTAAAAAACAGAAAGAAATAAGGTCATCATCAACAAAAAGGATGTCCACTCAGAGACCGCATCTGAAAGCCACCAACTACAAAGACCACAAGTAGATAAACCCACAAAGATGGGAAGAAACCAGTGCAAAAAGGATGAAAACACCCAAAACCAGAACACCTCTCCTCCTCCAAGGGATCACAACTCCTCACCTGCAAGGGAACAAGGCTGGATGGAAAATGAGTCTGATGAATTGACAGAAATAGGCTTCAGAAAGTGGGTAATAAAAAACTTCTCTGAGCTAAAAGAACATGTTCTAACCCAATGCAAAGAAACTAAGAACCTTGAAAAAAGGTTTGATGAAATGCTAATGAGAATAAACAGCTTAGAGAAGAAAATGAATGAATTGATGGAGCTGAAAAACATAACACGAGAACTTTGTAAAGCATACACAAGTTTTAATAGCCAAATCCACCAAACAGAAGAAAGGATATCAGAAGGCAAGATTAGAGAAAA